TCCGGACAGTAATGGAAGGCACAACGCCCACCATCATCGCCGGGGACCTAAACGCCAAACACCCAGGGTGGGGATCTAGAGTAATCAATCCACCGGATCATGAGCTTTATGAAGATGCCGAAAGAAATAACTACGACGTTTTAGGTCCCGAAGAGCCAAACCATATTCCTACAGATCCACGGAGACGTCCGGATGTGCTGGATATCGTGCTCTCTAGGAACGTCAACTATCCGATAGTGGTAGGGGTGCTGTACGACCTCAGTACACAGTACCTCCCGATTCTGATTACCCTTGACCTCAAGGCGGTGACTATGCCGCCCGGAGCATTCAAGACACGAGTTGACTGGACGCTCTACAATCAACACCTGCAGGAGAGACCTCCTTAGTCCATACACCTATATGCACAGCAGACGACGTAGAGGCCGCTGCAACAAGAATAACCAAGTCTATCCAGGAGGCCCTCCACGCGGCCTCTACGATCATCCCGATAACAGCAAAAAGAGACGATCTGCCGCGAGAGATATGCGTGCAGATAAAACGCAAAAGAGCGTTGAGCAAGCTCTGGGCGCGTAATCGCTGCCCAAGAATAAAGACGCAACTAAACGCCTTGTCGGATGAACTGTCAGATGCAGTCCAGGCCCACCGAGGAGAGGCCTGGGAGCGGAGCATATGGAAAGCGGAAGAGTATGATGCGTCGGTCTACAAACTGAACCGATAGTTAACTAAAACTAGACCTCCCGTTTGCCCCCTGACCAACAACGCGGGCGAACCCAGCAAGTGCGGAGTTCATGGAGCTTCATGCCCGGAAGGAGAGTCGCGTACAGGAGTTCCTGTCGTCACCGGCGCCACCGCTTGCAGGAGAGTGGTTCATCTCCCCCGCCGAACTGTGGAGGACAGTAACCCGCCCGCAACTTAGGTAGGCAACGGGGCGCGATGGGATTACCACCGCTGCACTCCGACAGCTGCCTAATAGAGTCCTGGTAGAGCTTGGTCGACTCTACAATGGGATACTGCGGACATCCCACTTCCCGGAGGACTGGAAGAAAGGCAAAGTCATCGTCTTGCCGAAACCCGGGAAGGACAGGCGTGAGCTGCTAGCTACAGGCCGATCACGCTGCTACCGCACATAGCTAAACTGCTTGAAAGATTGTTGCTGAGACGTCTCCGTCCGTGCATCCAACTTCGGGTGGAGCAGCACGAATTCAGGAGGAATCACTTTATACTCTGCAACACAACTGATCAGAGTGCTGCCCCTGCTTGCGGCAGAGTACAACCGTGGCCGCATATCGTTGGGCGTCTTTCTCGACATAGAGAAGGCGTTCGACAGGGTGTGACATTCTGGACTACTCTACAAACTGGAAGATCAGACCAGTGTCCCTCCTGCTATGTTGCGGCTAGTGGCGTCTTTCCTGGCAGACAGGAAGTTCTACGTCTGCGTAGAGGGCGCCGAATCCGCAACAAGAACCATTAGAGCCGGCGTTCCAAAGGGCAGCTGTTTGTCTCCAGTCCTGTACGCGGCTTATACCAACGACATCCCGACACTGGCAGGATAGCTCCTGGGATGATATATCCCCAACGCTGCGTGTCATCTAACACGCTGGGAAGCGAGCTCCGGAGGCCCGGCTTGCTGCTGTCAGGAGATCGCACGCATGTTGTTGACATCGGCTCCGCGTCGAGATCCGTCTCCGTGGAACCTTGAAGTCGCTGACCCTTCGGCAGATCCCTTCCCAGAGGCGTGAGATACGCCATGAATGCCTAGGTACTAGGCTATCACCTACAACTAGGAAGGATCACCTGAGGCCCGGCGTGCTGCTACTCAGGAGCGCACAGCTGTCCGCGGAATTGGCTCTAGGTCGAGAGCCGTTCTCTGCGAGAATCCGTGGGGCTTTGAGACTGCTGACCCTTTGGTAGCACCTACCTAGGGGCACGCAATACGCCAACCAAGAAGAAAGCCGACAATGTCGTTCCTGAACGGCTTCCAGGACCGGCCCATAGTAGTGGGCCGTGATGATTGCCCGGGTAATGGGGAACCTCCCGAGGCCCGAGACCTGCTGGGCAGAAAGCCCACGCAGAAGCCATCGTACGCTCGCAATTTGTTTGAAAATCTCTTCGGTTCGAAAATTTCTTCGGTGCAATATTTCTACAGCAAGATTCAAAAACTTCCCCGGTTATCACATATCTCAAGAATTTCAAGAAAATCGCTGTTTCATTTCCAGTGTTTACCCTAAAAGTTAGGAAAAGTGAAGTAAATATACAGTCCACATATTTGATGTCTAGACCGGGACCAAGCGTGGACCCGTAATCTCAGGCATCAACTACCTTTTAAGATTAGGTGTGTGTGTTTCTGAAGTAGGCGTTATCGAAGGGTGCGCCCACTGTGTTGTTTCGAACCCAACGTAGTGTGACTTAGATCGACGAGTTAGGAACTGGAAGACTCGCCGGATTGCTTCAGTGACAGCCAGCGTTAAGGGTTTTAGCTAGTGGTCCTACGGAGTGAAGGGTCATCGATTCAGAAACGCCCACGATCCTCTTTAATATCTTACAAGAAAAACGTATTTTCTACTTTCTCGCGGCATAAAAAGTTTTTCATTGTTTATAAATAAAGTTATAAACTGACATTTTTTTATTTGAGATTACAAATATTTCTAACGATTCCGCAATTTTCTAACTTTTCCGATACGATTTATACAAATTATTCGCGAACATCGTGCAGCTCATACCACAAACTATATATATAAGAGTACTAACGAGCTCATACAATGGGTGCGTTTGGCAGAAAAAAGCGCTAGCAAGCGCTTGTAAACAAAATGGCGATCGTAAGCGGTAAGCACTGTCAAATCGTAAGTAGCTATTTTCCTCCAGGACACGATGTTAGTTTTAACCGGGGAACCTAACCTAATTTAAATATATGTTTGTAAAGTATTGATATTAAAAACTTACCAATCATGAATTTTTAATAACATGTATATGTTTGTTCATGTCATTATATTACTTAAAACTAATATTGCACAAAACAACTTATTAACTCTACTTCAAAACAAACAAATTAAATAAGCAAAATGGCGGAATGTGTCAGCGCTACCGAAGTAGCAATCGTGTCCTGGCCGAAAACTATTTCAGCGCTTATAAGCGCTTGCTAGCGCTTTTTTCTGCCAAACGCACCCAATCGGTTTTTATTTTTTCCGAAGTTTGACAAAATGACAAATATCTGTCAACCAGCGTGACCATTTTTAGTAGATTTCTACTTTTTTAGTAGATTTGAAGCAAATAAGACTATAATCTATATAATAGAATAAAATGTCTTAGTAGAATTTAGTAGAAATGAGAAACACATTGGTAGGTTTTGGTATTAATTCGCTGTCAAAAAATATTAGGCTTTAAACCAAGCATCCATGTCCAAAAAGTTTTAGTTTTTACAGTCGGCAGCACACGAAAGTGATCTGGGGGATTCCCTTATTATTGAATGAACGTTACTGTAAAAAAAGTAAAACTAAAGTTACAGCCTATATACGTACCACTGCTGGGCTCAGGCCTCCCCTCATTTCTGAGAGGGTTTAGGGCAAAGAAGTGTCCGCCGCGCTGCCCAAATGCGTGTTGACGAACTTCACATTTCTTCGAAAATATTTTTTTTCTTATTCCTCAGACATGCAGGTTTCCTCACGATGTTTTACTTCACCGCCGAGCACGTGGTAAATCAACACTTAAAATTGCAATTAACAATTTCATTGGTGCCGACGGGGATCGAACCCGGGTTACTTGCGTTCTGTTATATTTACAGCGAGCGTTAATTTATTTTTATTTTATTTTTATTTTAATAAGGATAACAACAGCGTATATCACTAAATACAATTTCAAATTTACTTCAAGTATGCCAATAACAGTTATCCACATATTAAATATAAAGGTAAGCTATTATTAAGATAAGAAATTAAACAAATTGAAACAACTTAATAAAATAACAGTAATAAAATTAAGTAATTTTAGGTTTACTAACACTAAGATATTAGGTCTTTCTGACAAATTCATGTGTGATTTACTTTTCGAGTTAATTTTGTAATTCATTTATTTATATCATGGCAAAATATATTCTATATATCATTACATATATATGTATATGTATACAATATGTATAAACCACTGAGCTACCACGGCTCAACGTTAACGTTACTGTGGGCATAGCAAATTGAATTTCATTTTCCAATAGATAAAGGATATTTTTGTAAAATAGGTCTTTCAACTTAGATCATTTTAAAGTTGCTTCTATAATGATAGACTAGACAACACAATTTTACTAGTCGTTTTCTGAGCATAGATTGTGGATAGACTAGAGGGAATTCCTTTATTGAGAATTTTTATAATCGAATTTAAAATGAAACGTAAATATACACAAGGATATCGCGATGAATGAGAGCAAGATCCCTCATTTAAAAGTTGGTTATGTAAATCTAAGGTAAATACTCTGAGTGCTCATTGTAAAGCATGCAACTGTGAATTACTAAGTAGAGTGGCGTCCTTGAAAGAACACATGGCTACATCAAAGCATATAAAAATATGAAAGCATATTCCGGCATTTCTCAGCTATGCAAGTTACTTACGTTTATATGTGGAATGTAATTCTTAGTTAATTATTCTTGTTAAGACTTTTTTAATACTTTCAACTTATGCAGTAGTGTGAACCCGTATTATGTTTTAAAGTTTATGAATTTTATTTTCACTCAAAATTCAAACATTCGCTGTTTTATGTACGTTTATTACCTACGCATTAACATAAAAATTACTATACAACTATGTGTGTGTTTATTCATGTTAAATGCTATGAAAAAATTGCTTAGTTTTTAAAACCATATAGCGCTATATGAAATGACCTGCATAATTATTTTTAACTTCTTTGGTTACAGATTGATACGATTTTCAAAACATCAACCATTTCGGAAGAAGTAAAAAAAGCAGAAATCAGCATTGTAGCTGCCTTAGTTGAACATAATATTCCTTTTCGCGCAATGGATCATGTAAGCGAAGTTATTTCAAGGGCATTTCACGAATCTGAAATCGCAAAACGTTTTTCCTGTAGAAGAACTAAATCTGCCGCAATTGCCTACAACGTCTTAGGCAATAACTTCGAGGAAAAAATGCTTGCAAAATTACGTCCAAGACCAGAAAATGAAACTGAGAGAAGCCTAGTATTTTCGCTCATTATCGACGAGAGCACAGATGTCAGTACTACCAAGGTACTTGCAGCAGCAGTAAAGTACTACTCTGAAAAATTGCAATCTCCACAAACAAAATTTTTGTGTATGGTGGACTTAAAAGGTGATACTGCGCAGGATTTGTTTGATAGTTTAACATGTGCCTTATCTGAAAAAACCTTATTTTAATGATTTCTTATATTTACGCGAACACTACATGTGTACATGTTCGGTCCCGGTGTACATCGGGACGTCAGTCATCTCAGTCCCCAGTGACCATGGGTACTGGAAAGCGCCCGAAACGTCGGGAATTAAAAATAAAAGTAATTAAAAGTAAAAATAAACGCGATAAAATCCGTAAAAGTAATTTTAATCAAACCTTATTTTAGCCAATTTAATAGGGTTCGCTGCTGATACCACGAATGTAATGTTCGGCGAAAGGAGTCGCGTGGTATCTAAAATTGGGGAAGTCAACCCAAACTGCATTTTTTTTTCATATGTATTTGCCACTCAACAAACCTTTCAGTGAGTTATGCATATAAAAAAATTTCCTCGTTCTATAGAGTTGTTTGTCAAAGATGTTTTTTCATACTTCTCTCACAGTAGCCAACGACAAAGAGACTTTGTGGAATTACAAAATTTTACTGACACTCCAACTCACCATATGCATCGTCATTATGATATCAGATGGCTTTCTCTACATCAATGAATTCACCGAATTATAGAGCAGTGGTGAGCATTAAAACTTTTTTTTTCAAAATGAGTTTTTAGGGAATAAGGATGCCAATGATACTTGTCAATTTATATTTGATCACCTTAACAGCGATGAGACAAAACTTTATCTTTACTTTTTAGATTTTATATAACCCATAACTACAAAATTTAACGTTATTTTTCAAAGTGATCAGACACTTATTCATAAAATTGAAACAGACATACAAAACATGATGAGTTCAGTTTTGAGATGTTTTATGAAGATAAATTATATAAAAACTACTCCACTTCAGTCAATAGATCCAAGTTCAAGAATACATTTCCTTCCTATAAAAAACATGTACCTGGGCACAAACGTAGCAATGACATTGGAATCATTAAAAGATGATGTTCGGATGAGATCTAAAATGGAAGAATTCCTTAACAGATGTCAGTCGTTTTTGATCGAGCTGAATAACCAATTTCTGCAAAGACTGCCTGTACAAGATAATTTTTTGCAGGATTTGTTGTTCATCGATCCCCAAAAAGCAGTGGTATGGTGAATTTCGAACTCTGATAGGAATACTCAAAAGGGTTCCTAAAATAGTTGCAACCGAAAACATGCAAATTGTTTCAATGATTATAGGGAATTAAAATTAGATGTTTCCGTGTCTAATTTATTGTCAACTTCTAGTTCGACGTCTGAAACTTTTATGGTGGATAAATTTTGGAGTGAAGTCAGCCAAATCTGTGATGCGAATAGCAAACCAAAGTATGGCAATTTGTCCCGATTTGTGAAGCAAATGACGATACTACCTTTGTCAAACGCCAAAGTAGAAAGAATATTTTCCGATATTAATAGGATTAAAAATCAAGATCGAAATCGATTTAATAATAAGAATGTTGCAGCAATAATGCATGGAAAAGAGGGGCTACGATAGTTGGAAGGAGGATGTAGCAGATTTGATCCTGACTGAAGTATGATCAATTTAATGGACTCAAAACAGCTTTGTGACAATGTTACCCAACATAAAGATGAAGAATCTTAACTTTAAGTATCATTTTATTCTTTTTTTAATTATATTTTTATTTAGAATTTAAGTTTAAAAAAAACATTAGTTTCTTTAATTAATGGTGGTTTCTTTAATGAATGGTGGTTTCTTTGTTATTTTATTATTTTATCGTTTAATCAAGAAAACATTCATGTTTTTACGTTGTAACACGACAGCAAAAAAATAAATAGATTTTTAGTATTTTCTCGTTCTCTTCTGGTAGAATTCAGTAGATTTTAACCTCCACAAGCAGTAGATTCGTCAAATGAAATCTGGTCACGCTGCTGTCAACTCAACTGTCATAAATATGGTGTAATGGTGTTTTGCATAGTTTTGTTTCTTGAACTTCCTACAACAAGAAAGATTTAACTACTCTCTAGCGAGAGTTATCAAGGAATTTTACAATATAATCTTCTCTGTATTGATAATTTGGAAGTCAATTTTGTATAATTTTAGAGATTTGGCGACATACAAATTCTAACAATTCTAGCCCTAGCGCTGACCATTTTTCAATGTAGAATACAATTGTATATTTACACCCAATAAAGTCCTTTTGGTTATATCTACTCATACAATTTCCTGTGTCACAAGAAACTAAGAAGATATTGCTCAAGACTGCAATATTGTTTTTAATTATAACTACCATTATTATACCAAAGATATACTATATATAGTATAGGGCACTAACTACAGAATATGGGTAACAAATAATTATACCCATTTTATTGCCTTCTAACAAAAAGAACAGGTTAATGCAAAATAAATTAGTTTAAAAACTACTTTAACATTTTTCAAAGTTTTATGATGCAAAAAATCTTAATGGAACATGAAATAGAAAATTTGGATTTAACTAAAGTAAGTATTCTCAAATAAGCCGGCCACATACCTTGACCTGCAACCGATACTTAAGAAAGGTTCTAGAACTGTAAAGTGCAGTTGATGATGTCTCTGTCATCTAAGTCAATAGATGCAAAGGGTTCAGGACTAATTTGCGCCAACTTGTGGGGGAGGCCTATGAGCAGTAGTGGACTTGTGCTGCATGCATATCTAAGATTTTAGGCCTCTAGGAGCTTCGAAGGCCCTGTTACAACTGTTCACATGTGCACTCAAGTAGTAACCACCTTAGTAAAAATATCTGACCTGGCAAACATCAACCAACCTGCTAGGTTTAAAAAAAATATAATATGGGTTAAAACAATTCCACAGTCCACCTGATGGTAAGTGGTTGCTATGGCCCATTGACATCTCCACCTACCTTCAATTACGAAGCAAAATGCAGATGCTTTGTCACCCGGGAGGACTAAGACGGAATGCCTCGTTTCCAGTAAAAAAGGACTGGTTCTCTACACTCACTATATGAAACACAGCAGTGTTCAGCTAATATTATGCTGATATTATATGAGTGTGGTCTTTTCCTAGTTGAACTGACCCATTTGTGCTACTACTATAATATACCTGCAGCATGGCTGTACCACAAATTGAGTATAATAAGTGATACTCGGGCTATGGGCCCTAAGTCAGATGAAGCTGTAAGAGCCGTATATAAGCTAACAGCACCAACATCATAGAAAATAAATAAGAGAGTAAGTGTAAGTGTAACCTCCTTATTTAGGAGGACAACATGAATCAGTTTTCCTCCCTAATAAGGAGGGATTTCGTAATCAGAAATCAATACTTTTAAGGTCTCATCCAATAGTAGATTCAGAAGAATCCATTGCTGTTCTATTAAAATATGACAAAGTTTATGTTTCAAAATTAATTTCAGGTAGCAGCTTTACAGCAAAAGCGAACATTAGCATTTGTCAACCACTTTGTGGTCACTACAGCTCAGTTTCTAAATACATTTGCAAAGCAATGTGAAAGTAAACTGATGCAATTTGAAGAAAAGTTAGAAAAGGTTGATGCTGCAATGGTTTTATTGGAAGCAAGGGTAAATAATACATAGAACTTATGTTTCACAGAATGAGCTGTATATTTATTATAAAAACTGCATAGGAATTTTTTTTATCATGCTCATGTAGGTCAAATAACGTGAGGCTCAGGTGTATTTAAGTTATCACCACTGCTCATTAACATCTGCAGCACCTGATGAACTGAAGAAGTGTCCCCAGAAAGTCCCTTGGTCTTATTGACAAAATGGTAGTGCATGGCAGCAAGGTCCTACATACTTCAGGGTGGTAGATTGTCTACCATCAAGATGATGAATTAAGAATAGGCCTACTAAATTTGGCAGCTGGTATCAGCCTAAAATTTCTAAGAACTCTGTGTTACAGATGATAAAATATACTGAGATTCAATGTCTCTTTACAATGAAAGTGAATCGTCATTTTAAACTTGGTAGAGCCACGCTGCAATTATATTATAGTTTAGCACAAATGGGTTAGTTCAACCTGGGGTAGGACTACCACTCACAAAATACTAGCGTAAAATAACAGCTTAATGCTGCTGAGTTACGTAAGGTTAGTGTAGAGAACCAGAGACCCTTTTTACTGGAAATGAAGCATTCCATTTTAGTCTTCATGGGTGACAACATATTTGCATTATGATCCATAATCGAGGATAGAATTGGATGTCTATGAACCACAGCATCCACTTACCATCAGTTGGACTGTGTGCTCGTTTCTTCACCCTTATTTTATATTGAGAAAATCAGAAAGATCTCAAATTACAAAAAAAACATACTGAAGTATTTCTTTTTAATATTTAATACCACAAAGTCTAAAGAAGTCTTTGATTAATGCATTCTGCCTGTTGTAATATTGCCAAAGTATGGACATTAACAATATGGCTACTCCCCAAGCTCAAAGTCAATTGGTGAATGATGGAAAGAGCAATATAATGTTCGACATTTCTCTGGTAGATAAAATTTGTTAGGAAGAAATCTGCCAGAGACTCAAGATTACTGACATAGCCTTTCGTTAGTAAACTGAAATGGCAATGGGCTGGTCATGTCTGTCACAGAAGTGACAGCTGCTGGAGTAGGCATGTTATGGAGTGGACACTTCTAGGCAAATGTAGTGTGGGACGCCCCATGATTAGATCTGTGTGTAGCTGAAGACCAGGCTAAGTGGACTTTGGGAGAGGCCTTTATCGAGCAGGGGACTGCTGTTTTTTATATTTAGATTAATTTAATAAAATGAAGATATAATCAAATCAATATTAAAATTATATGAACAAATGATTGGTTTCCTATATCAAAATAAATAATGTGATTTCTCCAAGACGCAACATTCACATAAATTTTTGTTACAGCTGTCTTCAATTCCTGAAGTAAATGATTCATCTCAAACAAATGAAAGTGTTAAATCTCTTGATAATTCTCAAGTAAAAACAGAAGAAGCAGAGGTAGATAATCAAACACAAGGAATTAAAAATACAGAAGAAAAAGCTCCAGAAACTGAAGCCTCAACAACAAATGATTCAATTCAAACAAAACCAGAATAT